ATAAACACAGTAGAACTGAATTTGCATTGTCCCTTGGAATTCTTTGGGCTAAACCTGATATTAATCTCCCAACACTCAAACCTAGCTCCCAAGCCAGCCAGCCACAACACCATGAATTCCTCAGGGAGGTGCCAGCCTCATCCTCTTGAACTTCCCACACTCCTCTGATGAACTAAGAACACGCTTATCTCCCTGAGCCTGGCCTTCATAATTCCATTCCATCACAGTCAGAATTTTATACAATGGGTAAAATCAGTTTATACTACACAGAAAGCACATATAATTGTTACTGGAGATCTAACAAAACCATGTAAAATACAAAAAGGAACAAGAAAAGGCTGCCCATTGTCCCCTCTTGTTTATTTTGGTTCTTGAAATACTGAATAGAGATGTAAGACAGGATGAGAGGTTTGGGGGAGTCAAGGTTAAAAAAGAGACTTATAAGTTAAGAAGTTTTGCAAATGACTTGGTGTTGGTTTGGAAGATCCTTTAAAGGGAACTGAAATATTAATGGGTAAATTAAAAGAATTTGGTGCATTGGCATTTAAGATTAATAAACAGAAGACAAAGATGCTAATAAAAATATGAAAATACAAGATCAAACAGAATTGATAAATAAAATGGGTTTTAGAATTGAGAAGAAAGTGAAATATTTGGGCATCACTTTGACAAATATGAATTATATATTATTTCAAAATAATTATGTTAAGACATGGAATGAAGTTAAAAACTATATGCTGAGATGGGAAAAACAAAATTGTCATTGCTGGGAATATCTTACCTAGGATGTGATTTTTGTTTCAGACAATACTTATTTTGACTATTGATGCACTATTTAAGCAAAAGCAGAAGAACAGATCTAAATTTGTACGGCAGGGGAAAAAAACACGAGTTAAATAGAAGGTGTTACAAGACATGAAGAAAAGAAGTGGATTGGAATTACCTGATTTGAAATTATACTTTGCTACTTGTTTAATTTGGATGAAAGAGTCAGTGTTGCTGAGAGATAGATGGCTTTTGGAGTTAGAAGAACAAAATCTGAGATTTGGGTGGCAGGGATACTTGCCACCCAAATCAAAGCTAAGGTTAATGTAGATTTTAAAAATCATTATGTTAGACGTGCCATATTGAGAATGTGGAATAGTTAAAAATCCAGGTTGTGCCCAAAAATGCCTTTGTGACTCTCAGCACAAAAAGCACTTTATAGACAAGAAAAGATAAGTAAACTTTTAATCAATCAATAAATAAATAAGAGTAAAAGGGGAAAATAGGAGGAGGAAGGAGTATTAGGTATGTGCACCACCCTGAGTTATTTATAAAAATAATAAAGGTGGGATAAAAAAAAATCTAAAAAAAAACCTATCAAGCAATATTAGATTTTTTTTCAAGGGAATGCAAAATAAAGTCAAGAGAAGTTTTACTAGTGGAGGGATACACTTGTCAATGGTTTTCTTATATACAATCATTAGAAAGGTTTAAAGTAGATAAAAGAATGTACGGTTTTGAACACTGTAAGACTGAATTTGAAATAGAATTGCGTACAAATGAACATGTAATTGCTAAAATATATAAACTTCTATTGAAGTATGAAACATAAGAACAAGTGAAAGAATGTATGATAAAATGGGCTAAATCTTTTGGTTACAATATACAAATGGAACAATGGGAAAATATGTGGTTGAAAGAATTAAAATTTACATTACGATGACCTTAAAGAGAATTTCATAAAATGATATACCGTTAGTATACGTCACCAGAGAAATTGTCTGGAATGTACAAAAGTACTTCAAATTTATGTTGGAATTATGAACAACATTTTACCATCTTTGGTGGACAGGGAAAAAAGCCAGAAAATTTTGGATACAAATACATACCCTAATTCAGAGGGTATGTATTTGTACATACAAAGATTAACATACAATTGAAACTGGAGGCTTTTCTTTTGGGACGGATGACAAACAGTTGGAAAAAAGTCATGAAACTTTTTCTTTTGGCTGTTTCTTTGTTCTTCTTTCTCTTTTCTTTTTACTTTATATTAGTTCCTCTTAGTTTTCATCTTCTGTTTAAAATTCTTAATAAAAATTATATTTAAAAAAGGAATTTGATGGAGTTCTCTGAGAGACTAAGGGGAAAAAGGTTCACTCAAATGCAACCAATTTTCTGTTAGTAGAGCTTTGCCTCTTGATCAGTGATTCTGGGGAATTTTCAGGCCCAGGTTCCATGATCTGAAAAAGTCTGAAAACTCTTGCTATAGGCTAATTTAGTGTGGGACTCCTTAAGCAACTCCAGTTCCACATGGACAGAAATAAATAGCAGCAGAGGCCCTTGAATTCTATTTCCCTGAGAAAAGCTTATGGTTACTGATGTGGAAAAAATGTATAGTTTTTTGTTTTTGTTTTTTTAATCTTTCAAAACAGGAAGATCTGCCTAGTTGTAAAGAGAATTGAAAAAAAAACTCAGTTTGGTAACTATAAAACACCTCATCTCAATCATCATAATGCAATACCTTTTATTTTATTACACTAATCAACAAAGCCTTATAAAAGGAGCATGTAGCATCAGACACTAGTACAAGACAATTTGCAGTCATTTCTAAGAGAAAAATCCCCTCCTTATAAAGATTGCACAGCAGACATAAGCGATGGACCACATCCACCTTAATAAACTTGTATTTGTACAGATGTTGAGAGAGATGAGGTCAGGAATGCTCAGGATCCCAAATAATGCCTTGCCCTGTGGTGCTAGCAGAGCATGGAGGAACACATTCTCACCCAAAGAGGCCTTGTATCTCTGGCATTTTGCTGCTCTACACCATCTGGGAATCAAGAGACACCCCCCCCCCTTCCTGATTGCCTGCCAAGTAGCGTTTACTGTTTGATTAGCTAATGTGATTCCTCAGGGTCGCACTCTAACACAACCTGATCTGGCATGGAAGACAGGGCCCTAGAGAGCCTAAGATCAGAATCATGGAATTATTTTCTTTGTGAGCCTGGCTGCTGCAAGATACCCCACCTCTCCCACAGCAATGCAATCAGTCATAACAACTCTGTGTTGCCAAAATGTTCAAGTATTAATCAAAATCCCAACAACATCCCAGCTGAGAGAGGAAGTATACTGATGGATGAATGAGGGAATGGGTGCTCTTCTCTGTCCACTCAGATAGATTTCTTGGGCTGATAATATAGGATAACTGTAGGATAGAAGAGGAAGCCTATGGAGTAAATTAATGTGATACTAGTAGGTAAACAGAGTGCTGTTGTTTATAAATTAGATTAATGACTTTTGAGTGAGTACACTTATTCAACAACTATAAAGTACCAGGAAAGTCTTGATCTGGAATCTCTTACACTTTATCGGCCATGTTTTATGAAACATGTTTACGAAACATTAGAATACTCTAATTCAGGAGTTTTCAAACTTTTTCAGGCCATGGTACCTGTTAGTTAAAAAAAAAAAAAAAATCCAGAAACCCTGATCAAGAGGCCAGGTTCTAGTGATAGAAAATTGGTTGTGTTCGAGTGGACTTGTGGGGGGGGGGGGGGGGACATCAGTCTTAATGCAGCATACTGAACAGTTAAATGTCAGAACTGATATGCTTTCCCTGATCACTGCCTCTAAAGAAGAGCGGTCTAGAGGCATTTGATCTTCACTCAGTCATACTTTGCTCAGATTGAGGATCCAGAACAGGAGATTGACATTTTGCAGGGTATTGTGGAACCTTATTGCCCTCTTGTGCCATCCAACAATATGAATTCAGCACTGGCTCTTGGCCAGCTGTACAAGTGCCTGCTGCATACCTAGTAGCCACAGCAGAGAACAGGCCCACAACTCTTCTTCCAGCAAGTCAGATTCCTGCAGTTCATATCATCCAGAAAGTAACAATGAGAGTAATTTGGATCAGGCAGTTTCTTATTGTGGGTAAATTGAAACATAGAGTTAGGTAGATGCAGAGCTAACCAGACTATAATCCCCAGATCAGTTCAGTGTAAGATCTTCGCTCATTTTCCTCAGGATCCAAATCCAAACCCATGCTCCTATGTTTCACCATCACCATTTTCTCATGTGATGTTGCTGGAAGATTTTTTTTAACTGCTATATATAATGATAGTTACATAATTATAACTACTAGCTAAAAGAGCCAGAGTAGTTTTGGGAAATGGCTCAGTTTTGCCATCATGATCCACTATCCTGTTACATGCACCTTCAAAACTGAGAGTAACAAAAAGTACAAATAAAAATTACTGAAGGAATAAAAATAGAGATAGTTCTATCACATTAGAACTCTAGAGAAAATTCTAAAAAAAAATTCTCTCACTCTATTTACCACTATATAAACCTGTTAGAATAAAAAGATGACTGCTATCTCCTAGTGGGAATGTCTCCATATAGATAATAGACAATTTTGCATTACAAATAGTCAAAATTATGACATATTTGCACATGTTTGCTTATCTTGCATTATTCTGCATTTGAAGCCTGAGGTTTCTATCTCACTACTACAACATCTTTTGAAAATTCACTTGAAATAAGGCCTAGCTTTTTACCTCCTCCAAAAATCTTAGATTTTCACAGATGGTACAATCCCCACACATTTTTGTAATATAGTATATATTCCATATACAATACCTGTCTTCCAAAACCAAGAATTGCTAAGGAATTGGGGGGAGGGGTATAAAGGAAGAAAAGAAGAAGATGGCCACAATAGCGTGACAAGTGCAAGAGAAGGCAGAACAGAAGGAAAGATTAAGAGGAGAGTTACCCAGGAAAAAACCAGTAAGTTGTGAATGTGAGGAAAAACAAAAAGTAGTGAAGAACAACATAAGGAAATCCCCAAAGCAGAAAAAGTATAATTTCAACATCACCTGAACACTATCAAGTTACCAGGTCAGTTCTAAAGTCTGCAGATTCAAACGTGCCAAACACATTTCATCACTAGTGGACCTGGAACAGAATGGCAGATTTACTCATCCTCCCCACTTCTGCCCTCTTGTGGCCATTACCTTCTCCGCTGACTGGGATGTCCCAAAGAAGATAGGAATGAAGGCTAACCAGACAATGCAAGTAGTGTACATGGTAAACCCAATGGGCTTGGCTTCATTAAAGGTCTCAGGAACCCCACGGGTCTTTATAGCATACACAGTGCAGGTTACCATGAGCAGCATGCTGTATCCAAGCAAACAGATGAGAGACAGGTCAGAAATGTCACACTTGAGGACTCCCCGGGCAAAGCGGGGGTCTGTAGTCCGCTGGTCCTCATAGTCGATGACGGAGTGTGAAGGGTCCACAATGAACCAGATGCAGACCCCTAGGAGCTGCAGAGATATGAGGCTGAAGGTGATGACCAGCTGGGAAGCAGGGCTGATAAAGCGTGGGGCGCTGACTGACTTCTTGCCCTGCTCGAAGATGCGATAGATGCGATTGGTTTTGGTCAGCAAGGCAGCGTAACTGATGCTCATGCCCAGGCCCAGAAAGACACGCCGCAAGGAGCAGGTGCCCAAGTCAGGCTCAGCAATCATCAGGAAAGTGGTGGCATAGCAAAGGAAGATACCCGTCAGCAGCACGTAGCTTAGTTCCCGCCCTGAGGCCTTGACAATAGGTGTGTCGTTGTAGCGCACAAACGTCACCACTACAAAGAGGGTGGCAATGATGCCCACAATGGCAATGAAAACGGGCACCACAGCCCAAGGAGAGCTCCACTCCAGTTTAACAATGGGGATGGGGATGCAGCCAGTGTGGTTCTCATTGGGGCGCTCGCTGAGACGGCACACCTTGCAGTGGAACTCGTCTTGCTGATACTGGTATCCGTCACAGCGCTCACAGTGCCAGCAGCATGGGATGCCCTTCACCAGCTTCTTCCTTTCACCTGGCCTGCATGGCTGGCTGCAAATGGAGGTGGGCACCCGACTGCCTCCCCCAGGCCAATGCAGGCGTTCCATCTGCAGCAGAGAGAGAGGTAGAGAGCAAGAATCTCAGTAGCCTGCGTGAGCCTGGATCAGAACAAGAGGTTGGGCCAATATGCCCTACCCAAGCAGCACAAAATGGTTGCTTTTAAGCAATACTTTATCCAGTTAGTATGTGTGCTGCTCCTGATTGACACCTCCTCCTGCCCTAGATTCTCCCAAAGCAGGAAGACTTGTCTTTGAAAGCCTACAGCAATTCTACCTCTCCCAAGTCAAGATCCTCGAGTTTTGCAATTTACCTGCTATAGGACAAACTCCTCGTGAGCGTTTTAGCAACCCTGCCCACTCACAATGACCTTGCTAAGCTACACCAAACAGTTCAAGCTGTGCACTTTGCCACCTCTCACTGTTGCTACTTAATCTATTTCTTTGTCTTTTTCTCCTCTTTAAGGTTATTTCAGACCTGTGTGCCTACACTGTCTGATTTATTGTAACTCCCACTTCATTTGCTATATTATTTGATTTTATTGTGCTGAGCTACTGAGCCAATTCTGAATATCTATTCATTAAAAGAGAAACAAAAGTTTGCATAAAACTCCAAAATTCATTATCTAAGTTTCACTTGCTGAATGTTAATTCCACTATTGAAATTCAGCACTCCGGAATGCTGTGAGATCAAGGGTGAGCACCTTTACTGATTTAAAACAAATGGGGTGTGGTAAATATGTTATATTTATTTGCCCTGAGACTGAATCCTTAAATCTTATGTTTGTTTGGTGATAAGCATCAACTTCCAAGAGCAATATTTTCTGCAGCCTTGATTCCCTTAAAAATGCATTTCTTATAGTAGTCAGAAATTGTGTAAATTGGATTGTATTACTGGATGAGATCACAGAGAAATGCTAGAGCTAAACTTAAATCTTGCTCTGTATGATCTCTTTGATGTCTATATATAGATAGCCTGAATAAAAAATAAGCCAATTTTAATCAAGGTCCTTGATTTTGGAGCCTTTCTTGAGTACAGCTATCCTTCCTACTTAAACTCCCAAAGTCTGAAAGGAAAGGATTTTAACTCCCAAAAGTGTTCAGATATCTAAACACAACAAAACCCACTTACTTTTAAGTTTAGATGATCTGCCCAGTGCCCAATAACTTTGTACTCAGGTGTTGCATTCTTGATCTGGTACTGGTAGATGTCATAGCGGCCTGGAGCATCTCCATTCTCATTAAATGTCACTGGGGTTCCAGCAATACCTACAAGACACAAAGTACTTAGTTCCAGAAAGAAAAGCAGAATAAACTTGGATTGCATGTTTGATTTATCAAGCATATATCTATTTTAGCTATATGCAAAATTGCCAACAGGTTTTTGTAGAATCTCAAAGTTTACCAACTACAGACAGGCATAGGAGAGTGCTGCAAAAGGGCAAACATTTTTCTACACCAAGAAATGAAGAGCAGGGTGACTCTGAGCATCTGATTCAGACCACAACTCAGTTCACTCTGTTCTCTCAGACAGAGATCCACTTATGATTGTTTTTTTCCTCCAAGCATTTTTACATAAGCAACCCAACTTAGAATGCAAGAGCCTTTTAGTTGCCTCTTGCAGATCTGCTAGAAATCATATTCACATCTACCAGTAGTTTCACTACTGGAAACAGGCACGTAGAATATAAAAGAAGAGCTGCTACCCACCCAAGGAGGCTTCATTTGTAAACTAGGTAAAATTAGGTTTCTACAACTTTCTTCCTCATGGTCTCCCATCCAAGTGCTAACCAGATCTGACCCTGCGATGCTTTTTGAGATCAGCCAAGATTAGCTAGATACTACCATGCCCAGTTGGACTCTGCCAAGTTAGGCGCTATATAATCAGAGAATTAGGAGTTTGTTGTCACACAGGAAGCCAAAATGAACTGGTTTAAAGCAAGCCACAAGTGTTAATGTAAAATTGGAAAGGAACATTCAATTCCTTTTCTAAATCTCTCCCACAGTGTCACAAAAAGCAAAGGGTGTTTGGTGACATGCACAAAATCAGAAGGCCCTTAAGACTTGGGTGTCCTCCTAGGCATGTGGGGTGGGAGATTAGGTGGCCTGTGAGATATTGTTAATTATTGCTGATGGTTATCTTTGACTGACATTCTTTTGGTTTTATTCTTGTTGTGTGTTTTCTTTTATTATTACTATATTAATGTTTTTAACTACTACCCAGCATCACTTGTGCAAGATGGGCAACCATATAAACTGAATAAAATGAATTGAATAAATTAAATAAAATAAATGAAATCTCTGAGCAAATATATAATGTAAGATGAGAATACTGACAGGTATAGAGAGCATAAATCTATGGTCATACTCTATTAGTCCATGTATTTGGTACTAATGACATAAACTTGGTCCAAACTTTAGTAGGCATCTAAACCCAAGGAAGAAGACAAATAGGAGAAACAACAAAAAGAAGGACCCTTTTCTTGACAGTCAATCAGTTCCATTACGTACATAAAACATCCTCCAAAAGACATGAGGCAGGCCATCCATCTGATCTCCCTGCATATAATTACATTCCCCTTGGATGTCCAGGAATATGCTTCTTCTCTAAGTCATTGAGCAATAAATCCATACAAAATGCCAGTACATGATGAGGCTACATCATTCATTTACCAAGAGTGGTAATACCAGCTCAGCATTCAACCACATAGACGGAGACAGAAAATAATAACATATTTTATTATTGTTAAGTGAACATGTAATCCATCCATGAAATCAAAGAGCTGAAAAGATCCTGGATATAGGGAGGTCTCAATGTGTTTTTGTCCTTTTTTTTCTGGAGATAACCCACTAATGTAGGAAGGTTTCACTGTCTTATTTTTATATATTGAGCCAGGAACCAAGTTACAAGGGCCAAAGCAGACCTAACAATGACATGTGCCCCTTTTCATTTGTTCAGTCTCTTTGTATATCAAGTGTAAAGATGGAAGTCTAACAATCAGATGAGCACTGAATCATTCATCTGCTCTCTTCCCCAGGCATTACCTCCTTCAAGTTGATGGTTCCTCCTATTTTTCTTTATTCTTCATCCACATCTAATATGAGAGATTGAAACAAAGAAAAGAGGGTGGAACAACCAAAAGTAGAGAAGGAGTGGTGATGGTTCTGCTATGCATTCCTCTTTGCTTTTTTGGGGGGTGGGGGTAGGGGTAAAATTAAAGTGCAACTCCAACAACATGGTACATGTGAATTGGGTGGACTGTTTCATCCCTTTCATGAATAAGCAGAGCTGAGTTTATATACAACAAGTACAACATGTGACCCAACCAGGTATGACAATCCCCTGGGCTGTACACATTCACTTATTTCTGTAGAGCTAGCTATTAACATATTATACATTAAAAGTGTTATTCTTTAAGAAGCCTAAAGATTCTTTGCTATCTATGCTTACAGATACACCATATTACTGATTGGGGTGTGTATGGAGTTGTGTGTGTCCTAATCTGAAGATGTGTCTTGAATAGAGATTTTATCTGCAAAAATTTCAACATCATTTTCTTTTGTGGTTTCACCAATGCCAGTATCAAACTATAAGCCATTCTATCCTCTTTTATACAGTTAAGTGTACTATATAACTTCAGTTTTTAGTGAAAGGAAAAGAGGTTGCTTTCAGCAAAGACCTCTTTGTAGAAAATGATGGACCACAATAGGTGATGGGTCTGTTATAATGAACAAGATGGGTGGCCCACTGCCCTCTAAGCTGTTAGGCTGACCTTCTTACCATGACAACACCTGCAGCTACACAGCAAGCTGAGAGGCAGGATATCTGCTGTTCCAGTTCTTGTTCTGGATGCCTTTGCAGACAGATCATTACCTTTGATGTATACTGTCACTGATCAGCACTAATATCTCTGCCACTCACGTGCAAAGGGAAAGGTCACAGAGGAACACCAAGGGATGCAGCCTTTGGGGAGAAGGGGCAGGATAGAGTGCAAGGCAGTTCTTCAAAACAAAGGCAGCTGGGCCTGATTAGGCATTTGTGCCATCTGTTCAGTGTTAAGAAAGCAGTGATAAGAGATTGAGCACTGTTACTTTTGCTCATCCTTTTGATTTTCTTTCTGTTCCTTTTCTCCATGCTCGCATGTATATTCATGGTAGAAGACAACTGCACCAGGGTATTCTCCCAGATCTCAATGAAAGAAAAGTATAAAACATTGCAAAATGCAGGTGACTCATATGTCTACTTCTCACACTGTGGAAAAAAGGTGTGGAAGACAGCATAGTTCAATACTAGCTGGTCTTAATCAAAGCCAGAACTCAGTCTCTCCTCCTTTCTTCTTCCTCTTTTGTTGGAGAACAAAGCTCATGCTCCCAAGGGGAAACAAATGGTTATGTACTTCCTTCCCCCTTTATGGGAACTGTGGGAAATGAAGGAGTGAGTAGGGGGAACAAAAGGAGATTGCTGCAGGATACAGAATATGATTGTTTATTTCAAGATCTTGTCCATGTGTGGATGAAGCTTGGAATTCAGAGTCATGGAGACTCTGTAGGAACCTCTGTAGGAACCTGATAATGCCTGCTTGATAGCTCTTTTCAACACACTACATTTAACTTTTGTAACTAAGGTCATAAATGATCATCCATATGGATCTTCTCATATCCAGATATGTAGGGAGATCACATCTTATCTAGTTGCTGCCCTGCTTTATCCACTTTTTACAGATTTATATAGTAGTAGTAAAATATAATTGGTCTCTAAATCAGAGTATCCAAAATACCATTTCACCATGTTAAATTGGGAAGCTAAATCACTTGTGCATTTGTACAATTAAAAAAAAAAAAAGACTGGTAAACAAGAAGAATCTCTAGTTCTCCAGATGTTGCCAGACTATAATTCCCCCCACCATTGATTATGCAGATTGGTACTGATGAGAGAGGTAGTTCATCAGTATCTGGGAGGCCATAAGTTCCTCACTATTGTCTTAGAAGTGTTCTTAAAATATGCCTAATATAAAAGACAAGCTCAATGAAGAAGACTTATTCAGTTGTAGGAGTAAATGGACACTCTCAGTCATACTAAGGGAAGTTTATGGCATGCAGAAGAATGTGACCAGACAAGTATTGTGAAATCTTTAGTTACAGTGGTTTGTTTAATGAGTCGCTTCAAGCCAAGACTTTTTGCTGCTTTTTTCCCCTCTAAACTTTACCTTAAAACAAAATCAAATGAATTGCACAAATAAATCCCAATAACATTAGGAAGCAGGAAACTCAAACAGCTAGCTAGGAAGGGAATAAATAAGGGAGACAGATTGTAAGGGGATTGCGGTGAAAAGATAAATAGATGTAATAAGAAGGCTGAAGCAAAACCCATATATTAAAGACATATAATGTGAAGACGTGATGAGTTTCTAGAAGATGTAAAGGAATCATTAATTGGGAGAGGAAATGTTTTCTATCAAAAGAGGTATTTTAATAATGGGAGAGGAATAAAGAAATGAGAGCCATTAACAGGGGATTCCTCATCTGGATAAAATGATGATGGAATTTTAGATACTGGTTTTGTTCTGGGGCTACCACAACCTCCCTAGTAATCCAAATAGGACAGCTTCAGAATCCAGGTGCCTGCACATCCAGATGCAAATATTGGGGAGGAAATTATCTCATCCACCACAGCATACAGATTTGATCTTTCAAAATTGTCAGACTGCATATTAGGGATGGAATTCCTTCAGATATTCATGGCTGAAAATCAACAATAAGGTCTTGAACTATGCTCCAAATAAACTGACTCTTAAATAAATAAATCTACTCTTAGATGAAATGTAAAACACAAGATAGTTGAATAAAACATAAAACATAGATATCTTCAAAAAAGTAACTGTACAAGCAGTAAACAGTCCATGCATTTAAGTTCTGTATGCTTCTTACTGTGCCTCAAAACATAAATATATACTGTAAATATTAGGAAGGGAAGATTGAAGGAAAACAGACAAGACCAAAAAATTGTGAAGGAGGTATTTCAACATTCTTTCCTTCTCTATCAGTTATAGAACGTCATAGCCCTAACACTGACCCAGTTGGTAACTTTAATCTTAAGGGTGCTCTTTCAAAGACAGACCTGAGAAATTGACATTCCGGATATATTTGAGCAACTCTGCGCCATCTACTGGATCCATCTTGGGGCAAAGACCAATCTTCCCTGGACACAAGTTCTTGTGCATATTGTGTAGTGCGTGACCCATGGCATAGACTGCATCAATGACAAACTGCACCTTTCCTTCTTGCTCATAAGCAGAATCCTGGCCAATCCGTTCTCGATCTGAAAGAAAAAAGATACAGGGTAGGAATATGTGAGATGGTTGTCTTAGAACAGTGTTGTCCAAACTTGGCCACTTTAAGATGAGTGGACTTCAACTCCCAGAA